CATTACGTTGTTGTAGAACGTCCGTTCACAATCATCTCGTCGATCTCGTTCCTCATCATCCTAGCAGTGCTGAGGGTGCGACGTGAGTCCCACAGACGCGCATGGCGAGAGGAGGAGGAGGAGGAGGAGGAGCAGGAGCAGGAGGAGCAGGAGCACGAGCAGGAGCAGGAGCAGGAGCAGGAGCAGGAGCAGGAGGAGGGGAATCACCTGATGGGGACTCGCTCGACCTTCTCCCCGTCCTCCTCCTCCTCCTCGCCGTAGAGGTAAGACCGGAAAGGAGACAAATACGACTGGATCGGCTCGGCTGCCATTGCAAGACGATCAGTGGGAGCAGCGACAGAAGTTTCAACAGACTTTTCATGGTGAAAGAGTCATCTGCAAACATATCCCTGCCGAGGAGGTTTGCTCCTGGCTGCAAGGAGACAGGGCGAGGATAAGCGGGGGAAGCGCAGGAGCGGAGGAGGGACCGGGTTGAAGAGGATATCGTCCGAGTTTCGGAGGGGAGCCAACTCTGCCGCTCGTGCATTCACTCCCGTTCTCGTGAGGAAAGGAGAGTCTACAATGTCGTAATGAGAAACAGGAGCAGAAGAAGGAGCAGGAGAAGGAGCAGAGGGGAGGAGCAGGGAGGAGGGAGGAGGGAGGAGGGGGACAAGCAGGAGCAGAACAAGAAGGAGCAGGAAAAGGGACAGGACGAGTGCAGAGGGAGGGGAAGAGCAGAAAAACGTAGCAGGAAGAAAACCAGGAACAGAAGAGACTTGCCTTTGACATGGATGGCGCAGAATCCGTTCCTGAAGGGACTCCTGTGCAATGTCGGGTCGATGTCCCTGCCAGAGAATGAGAGGGTGAGAACAGGAGAGAAGGGGATAAGCGTAGAAGAAGATGAGGAGGAAGAAGGGAGGAGACAATGGGGAAGGAGGGAGGAGGCAGGGGGGTGAGGGTAAGACGAGATCATGCTTTTCTTACGGTAACGCTGGACCACTGTAGAAGGGCTCGGTACCAAGGAGGAAAGGATCGCCGATGTGGCGGTCAATCACCTAGAGCGAGTCAGTCGCTCCCCCCTGCTGCTGCTCCTCCTGCTGCTCCTCCTGCTGCTCCTCCTGCTCCTGCTCCTGCTCCTGCTCCTGCTCCTGCTCCTGCTCCTGCTCCTGCTCCTGCTCCTGCTCCTGCTCCTGCTCCTGCTCCTGCTCCTGCTCCTGCTCCTGCTCCTGCTCCTGCTCCTGCTCCTCCCGCACCGACTGGCACGGGCGGAACTGCTCTCGTTTGAAGTAGTCCGGGACATGCTGCGAGCAGAGGGAGTTAGATGCGTGTATAGGAGAAGCAGCAGCTCTGACCTCATACGGAGTATCAGGATGAACGGCAAACACAATCGGATCGATGTCCCCGGGAAGTGCGTTCATAAACTCCATCATCCTCTCTGTCAGAAACGCTCCCGTCAGCGTCAAGCCCCAACCATGGCAGCGGGACCTCTGGTGAAGACGTGGCGGCGGGCTGGCAGGGGGTCAGCTTCGGGTCCTATCGGACCCATATTCACTTTGATCCCTCCAGCAGCAGAGATCTGAAGCAAGACGATCAAGAGCACAGACGAAACTGCTTCCATTGCGTCATTGTCCACCGCATCCCATCAACAGAGGTACCTTTGTGTGTGCTCATGCTGCTAGAGCGACGTCTCAATAGCATTGTGCAAGATGCGACGAGTGCGTGTCTAGTCTTCTGCTTGGATTACCTCCAAGAGCCTCTTGTATGGCACTCTCAGCCGTCCCTGTGATTGTTCGACGCGAGTAGCGGGTGGATGCGTGTCAGCAGCCCGTTCACCCTTGTCCTTGTGCTCACCAGCTACTCACTCTGCTCACACTCTCTGTGTGTCTTCTTTAGCTTCTCCTTAGCTTCTCCTTCCTCCTCCTTCTCCCTCTTCTCCCTCCTCTCGTCCTTCCCGTCCTGGCATGGGCAAACCACTAGCGATCCAGAGCGATCCGCCTCTCCTTTGATGGGCCTGTAGGGGATGAGGGTAAACCTCAGGCTGCCGGCCCAATAGCCTCCGCCGAGTGAGAACTGAGGCAACGGTGAGAACCGCCGGGGAGGCGGCGGTGAGTTCGGAAGTTCCCGGCCCCCTCTGCCGGGCCCGGGCGGCCCATCGCCGCGTGTGGATCGTGCGCGGCCGCAAGTCAAGTCACGTACCGTGACAAGGTTTCGGCTGCCGCCCGGCCGGGAGGCTTGCAGCCTGAGTCCGGGCCCGGTCACGGCGTGTCAGAAGAATGCCGGGCCCGGTCATGGAGGAGATGAGGGCTAAACCACTGACTCATCAAGAAAGGACCCCCCAATGTACTCACTGGTGGTGTCATTACCCCACCCCTCGCAATTAGCATAGTATTATCACTACACATTGAGGGTCATTTTTAGACCACCTACCAGTCGAAATCAAGTTTCTATTTCGTACCACCCTACCCCTCCAGTTTACAGGTTCAATAGCGATGCAGGGGAAACGAGCAAATCCGGATGCGATGAAGAGAATGAGGAGGAGGAGGAGGAGCGGGTGCAGCAGCAGCCACACCTGGAGAATGAAGAAACTTAGCAGGGAGAGGAGGATGCGGCGGGATGAGATGTAGTCGAGCGAACATGTATGAAGACAGGATTAGAGTCAGGGAGGACAAGTAGAGGCAAGAAGGGTACGAAGAGTGCTACAGTGTTGTATGAGCATGTGAACCGAACGGAAGTGAATGAACATGTAGCGATGTTGGCATGACAACCCTGATGATGGGATGAGAGGGAAGTCCTAACGAATCTCCGACGATGGGCGGCAGGAAATGGAGGATGGAGGCGAGAACTCTCTAAGACTTGTGGCAGGAGCTAACATGTGCAGCAAAGAGAACAAGGTCAGGTTCGACCTGACAACTGACGAGATCAAGTCTCTCTCCGAGGAGATCAAGAGGAAGTAAGAGTCGCTCATCGCGCCCTCACTGCTCTCCGCGCGCTTTCTAATGGTTACCCACAGGATGACAGAGGTCGGAGACCAGGTCGTCAACGTGGAAGGGAGGAGGACTTTCGAGAACACCATCGCTCCTCTTGCCAAGATGGACCTCGAGCTGAGCCCGATGTCCTCTAGCTGCGACTTTGCCATGCACGTCTCGTCGGACGCCAAGATCCGTGAAGCCTCGCAGGAGGCAGACGAGGACCTGCGCAAGTTCTCTGTGGACTTCTACATGCGGGAGGACCTGTACAAGGCGGTAATGGCGTACGAGGAGGAGAGGAGGAAGAGCGGGGAGAAGCTCGGGCATGAGGCGCAGCGGTACGTGGACCGTCTAATCCTCGACTTCAAGAGAGACGGTTTGCATCTGGACCCTGCGAAGAGGGAGAGAATCACGGAGTTGAAGAAGCAGCTGTCGGAGAAGGAGGTTCAGTTCCAGAAGAACCTCAACGAGGACACGGCAAAGCTCTCTTTCTCTCTCAGCGAGCTCGAGGGCCTGTCCGACGACTACCTGTCGAGCCTGGAGAGCGCGGAGGACGGGAAGAAGTTTGTTTCCCTCAAGTATCCCGAGCTCTTCCCCGCGATGAAGAAGTGCAAGGTGGAGGCGACCCGACGAGCCCTCGACAGCCTCCGCTCCGTCCAGTGCCAGGAAGTCAACACCCCCCTCCTCGAGGACGCCCTCCAGCTCCGGTCTGAGCTCGCAGAGCTGCTGGGCTACGAGTCGCATGCCGCCTACATCTTGGAGCTGCGCATGGCGAAGACGACGGCGGCGGTGCAGGAGATGTACGACAAGCTCATCCCGCGGTTGATCCCCCCAGCTAGGGAGGAGCTGGGGAAGCTGCTGAAGCTCAAGGAGGAGGAGAAGAAGGGAAGGAAGGAGGAGTTCGATGGCAAGATCAACTCGTGGGACTTCCAGTACTATCACACGCTCCTGGCGGAGAAGGAGTTCTCGGTGAACGAGGACGTGATTTGTGAATACTTCCCTCTCAATGTCGTCAAGCAAGGTGAAGGAGCTTTCCCTCCTCTTCCTGCTCCTGCTCCCCCTCATGCACCTCCTCCTCTTTCTTCTCTTCCTTCTCCTCATCTCTTTTCCTTTCCGTGTCTCATTTTTCACACCGTGTCAGGCCTCATCGACGCGTACCAGCAGATCCTTGGCTTGACCTTCACTCAGGTGTCCATCGTTCACAAATCCATCCTCATCCTCATCCTCATCCTCATCCTCATCCTCATCCTCATCCTCATCCTCATCCTCATCCCCATCCCCATCCCCATCCCCATCCCCATCCCCATCTTCCCCTTCCTCTTTCACTTACTCCTCTCTTTCATCCCCCTACGTACAGCTCCCTCGCCCTCCTTTCCTCCCTCCCTCGTCCTCCTCCCCTTAGTTTCTCATCCAATTTGGTTGCCATTGCAGGTTGAAAACCCACAGAAGCTCTGGCACCCAGACGTCGAGATGTTCGAGGTGAGTCTCGGCCTATGAAAGCTCTTCCTCCTCCTCTCCTCAACCTTCCTCGCTCTTTGTCTCCCTCTCTCCTCGCTCTTTGTCTCCTCACACCCCGTGGCGTTCAGGTGTCCGACCCGTCATCGGGAGATTTCTGCGGCTACTTTTACTTGGTGATGAACGAGGAGGAAAAAGGGAGGGGAA